CTCTGTCCTCGTTGGGCCTTCCCTGCACACCTGCGGCTCGTTGGATCATTACTGGAGGAGTATTTGAGCAGTGGGCTTTCACTACCTCGACGCCAGAGTGTTTGCCAGTTTTTGGCACTCTAGCCAAGCAGAGATTAGCGGAGTCTAACCTAAGCTTTGTTCCCCTGAGTAACTGGATAACTGGACCTTCTTCCCCTGGAAGTATTAACTGAGAACACACTAAGCAGGTGAAAACCTCCACATGATCCTTTCAAGTCCTCTTCGGAAATCCAAGTGACAGTCCGCTCCTTACTCCTCTGGGTCCAACGCTTATCTACCTGTCCGCCCTCCAACGAGTTCCCTCTTCTCTGGATTTACCCCCACTAGCTGGATTCAAGGATTGACAAGAGCCCCCTCAAACGTGAGTTCCTCTCCAGTAATATTCAAGCCTCAGTCAAATTTCCTACAGTCCCTGAACTGATCATTGTGATCTCCCCTTCAGACTTTCCAGTTCCGGTTCACCAGTCCACTGAGTTCCAGATCCAACTTCTGTTATTCATCTACATTTAATAAACATGTTAAACTTTTTCCCTTGGTCTCTGAGTGGTGCTCTGCATGTGGGTCAGATCGCTTAAACCAATCATGACACTAATAAATGTTAAGTTGAGGTGGGGCTCCTCTTGAAAGCATCACTAATGCTACGTTCACACTGTACGAGATTGAAGCAGCAGAGGCAGCTGGTTTACATCCAAAGTCCGTCCCCTGAAACACTTTATTATTGTTTAAAATGTAGAAACCTGATGGCAAAATATGTTTTACTTTTATTATTCTGGTGTCTGCAGTTTACACCACATACATGAATGCTAAAATCTACATCCAGCTGCCACGAACAGTAGTGGAAACCCCCAGCTAGATTCACAATGACAGCGCACAGCCATTAGAAGGGATCTGAGCGCCTACGACAGCAAAATATTTTGAGGCAGGACCATAATCTTTATGAAATGACTTCACAGACGATGTTTTCAGGTGGACTTTCTCGCTTAAAAATATATTAAAACTACATTTTACCATCTTATCACAGCAAATATAGCAATGCCGCTCTCTGCAATTGAACAAAGAGCAAAAGCATCAGATGCATCTGGACACACTTTACTAGACACGCTTCAGGTGCATCAAAGATGCTGCTGACATGTGTCTGACCTTAACGTGTGCAAGCTTAAAAAATGAAACAGCAGGCGCTTTTTTGCTGCTCAAAGATGTGCGGTATGAACGTTGCATAGCTGTGAAAGAGACTGGATGGTGTCTCTGGCTTGGATTTACCACTTCTGTTGTGATGGCAGACCTGCTAAATATTGTTTTGATTACCTTGGCATGACAGGCTATAATTTGTTGTTAATTTCCACTTAGTGTTTTTATAGTGGATCTCAAGTCACTTTACAAAGACGACTCAATCAGATTTTATATTAAGAGGTAAAAAAGTACAGTGAAAAGTTTTCTTTCTAAGGAAAGCGAGCTGATTGAGTTGATTTATTCACTTTGCAGGAAAAACTCATCCTGGATCAATGCACGCAGAGACAGTGGAGAGGAAAAACTCCCTCTTAACAGAAAGAAACCTCCAGCAGAACCAGGCTTAGTGTGCCAGTAGTTCTGAGCAAAGCCTACCAAACAGAATTTGAATAGGCACAGAAGGTTGGCATCTGAGCTTCCAAAAGCCTTCATTTCTATCAAACTGAAAATGTGGTTAGAAGTTTAGATAAAATGTTTTGTCTATTATTTGCAAAGAACAAGGGGTAATATCCTGTAATAATTTGTGCCTCTTCGTATAATCTGAGCCTGGGTAGGTGAGAGAAAATCTCAAATAAATTCTAACTTGAGCCACTAATTTTTAATGACTGAAATTACATTCTGCAATCATTCAACTCTTAAATTACGAACATTCAAAAAGCCAAAGACAATCTGGCACATACTGAGTGTAAAAGGAGAATACCTCTGACAACACTAAATTCATTTAATTGGTTCTGTAAAATGCATTTTCTGTGGAGGTTTTTGTGTTATCCAAACAAAATACAACTTAATATTCTTTTTTGTCACAAAACCATCTATTGTGGAATTTGAGTTTGCATTACTAAATGGATTATCAATCGACTAAATAAAAATTGTTTTGGTGGATCTCCGCAGTGCATAAACAAAAAAAAAAAAAAACTTTTACGATGGAGCTTTTTCATAAATGCTCACAAAAGTAAGGGTTTCTGAACAGACTAATAATATTTCTAGTTTTTAATGCTACAGTTAATTTGTGTTTAGGTGTAATGTACTAATTTATTATAAAAGTAGTTTACCTCCATTCACCTAGTATTGACTGCAAGCAATTATGTCATTTATATATTTTGACAGTAAGTGAATTATTCAAGGCTGGTTGTCATCCTAAAAAGAAGTCAACAAAATAAGACATCCCTTTTCCTTTTATTTATTTATGCATCTTCCCCAAGGAGCTATTGAAAGCAAATCATGTCATAATTTCTTACTTCTTTCCAGTGAGACCAGCAGCAATTCATCTGTTATGGTCCACCACATTCTAAAGACAGCGTTGAGCATCCTAATAAAGTGAGCCAAGATTGAGACAAGTGCTCTTCTCAGCAGTATTACAGCTACAGGGGATGATTTCAGCTTTGACAACTGTTCACAGAACAGCTCTGCCTGAAGAGACAAAGGCGATAAGGTGGCAAAGATTGGATCATGTGCTGAAAGAAAATCAGACAGAATGTTGCTGGTGACTGTAAAGCATCCTAACACATTTGCTAAGACATCTGTGAATGACTGCTGTGCTGCGGGCTATTAACTGTCATTCATGATTATTGTTATAATGATAAAGAAATTAAAAATTCTTCAATGGTGACCTTATTCTCACACCAAAAGCTGTTGTTCTTTGTTATTGTGATATGTGATATGTCATGTGAGATGGATACAAAACCTTTACTTCTACCGTTATGTAAAGCGCATAAATGAAAATAAAATAAATTCTTTCTTAGTATAGTGGACATAACATCTGAACATCTCACTCTATTGTCTTATAAAATTGCCCCTTACAAACTTTGCTGTTTATAATTAATCAATTACTTCCTGTCATAAAATTATCAATGTATTATAGAGGTATATGAGAGTTGAGGGCTGCTTACTGGAGACAGTGATTGAGGAGATTTGGTCTATTTTTAGTTTCCCCACTAAAAGGTCTTTCAACTGATAAGGGCTATCAGTAAGAGCTGTCAGAGAATGTTACATCATACAAAAGACTGAAAGTCATACTGCTTAATAAATCCATAATTCAGTTAACACAGAAATTGGTGCACAGAAGTATAAATGTTAATGGTTTTCTATCTGTTAAAAACAAAATAAAAACTAACTAACTACAAAAAAATAAAAAATAATAATAAAAAAGGCCCTACCCTCTGTGGTATGTATACTGTACAGTCTTGGTTGTTTTCAGTAGGACTAAGTTAATGAGATGAAATTTATTCAAATTTCAGGTTTATTTAACGCATTCCAGTGCTGCATAGGTTCTATACAAAGTATTTTCTTGCATAATTAATTAACTGCTTCATATTGTGAGAGCCAGTGCTGGCTTAGCATACATGATTTATTTTACTTGTACTTGCCTATACATTATGTCTATTCACTTTGGCCATAATTTGTGGAAAAGTGATGTAATATGACTTGTGATTCATTTACTTTCAAGTTAACAAGTTCTAAATAGTGTAAGTATTTCTGCTTTGAGTTTTTTTTTTCTACTGAAGTAGATAGTAGACATTTAGCTACTGCTAAATCATTATCTCAATTTCAACAACTTTGCTTCATTGAAAAAGGTTGCATCTGTCTACATTTCCTATCAAGCAAAGGTATCCGTTTATGGTTAGATTAAAACAATGGTAGGTCAATATGTTTTGTTACTTGTTTCAGAAGAAAAGCTTATACAATAGACAGCCTGTTTTTTTCTTGTAATTTTCTATAACTATTGATTACAGAAAGTGGAATTCTAAAAATCTGTGTCTCAGAAAACGTTAGTACATAAGATCAATAAAATATATATATATATATATATATATATATATATATATATATATATATATATATATATATATATATATATTTTAAACATGAATATCAGGTATTTGATAGGTATGCACAAAGATTTAGTTGGGCCCCCTTATGAACTGCTGGTTCAGTGTATTGTGTCTTGATGGTGATCAATCTGTGATACTACTATGGTGTAAATATATACCAGATTTCTATGATAATGACCTTTAGGTCATCTGCATTATTGGGTCTGCTGTCTCTCATCTTCTTCTTTACAGTACACTTTTGATTCTCTACAGGATTTAAATCATGTCAGGTTGCTGACCAGTGAATCAAACTCTTTTTGGTAGCCTTGGTAGTGTGAGCAGGTGCAAAATCCTGCTGGAAAATGAAAAAAAGGAAAATTTTAATGAAAAAAAAAAAAATAAGGAGTGCTCTAAAGTACTATTCTAAAGTAAATTTGCTGGGAGATGACTGCATTGACAAAGGACTTTAGAAAACACAGTGGACCAATGGCTCTGGAGATCATCACTTACTGTGGACACTTCACACAGGAGTTCAAGATACCGCCCAACCTTAAGTCAATTCCCTGCCTGCATTCTCTTAATGTAACTCCTGCAAGGTTAGCAGAACAAAATATTAGTTGGATGAATGGCAGGATGCAGAATTCTGTAGCCCCAAGAATGGGAGATTATATGTTTTTGTATCAAGGAGGAAAAGTGTTGGGACTTGAAACAGATAAGAAATGACATACATTCATTCAAAATAAAAAGATATAATCTTTTTATCTAAATGAAAAATAGACTATGTTAAATACCAGCGTGTTGAAACTTTATAAGTATGCTACTCCTTAGTTTCCACCCTTCTTTGGACGGGACCCTTGTAACTGAGCTCTCTTGTATGTGTCTCTGTCTTGCTGTCCTCTCCCCTCTTGTAAAATCAAACACACAATCATTGTCTCCCACACAGACGCACACACACAGTGAGCAGCCGCGTTTGCAGTGCGCCTGCCCCGGTGAGCAGCGCTTCTCTTCTCCTCCACTAAAACCTAAGAAGACCTGCAGGATTTTTTTTTTTGAAAAAGGGCTTTGAGAGGCTTTATGTGAATTTTCAAACTGTGAAAAGTGCTTATTTGCACGGGGTTCCTCGCGCTCTTCTCCAATACTTTGATGACAGATGGATGAGTGAAGGTGAGGAAGTTTGGTTTACCGTACATTCCTGATGCGCACTCCTGGGTACTAACTATCATTTGATGTAGAAAATTTATAATTTAGTAAAAAATGTTGCCTCTGGACCAGTAAAATCTCAAGGTATGTTATGATCACCACTGAGAACTCTTGAATTGTGTGAATGATTGAAATATATGAAATGCTAGATTTGAGCAGAAAGTCTCAGTAGTGTTTGTTTGATGTTAAAGTGTACATTTCTGCGCTTGTGTGTCACTGGATGAGAAAGTGCAGCGGAGTTTCTCTAAGTTCTAACGTTTTCTTTCTGTTTTCGATTCAGTTAGGAACGAAAAAAGTTTTTTTGTTTTTTTTCTATAGACCTATCGTTAAACCTGTGTACAATTTATTTTTGGATCGAGTTTAATTCCTTTACAATATAACTTTTAAACGTATGAATGGCCGGATTCATCAGGATGAGATGAGTTTTTGTTTTGCGCTCTTCATCCAGGCAAAGTTTTATAAACAGTTAGTTAGACGTGAACATGTAGTAAGTTTTACCTTGCCTACACGAAAATAGAAATTTTCAACCTAGAACTATGTTTCTAATCAAATTTTTATGAGTTTCACACTTGGAAATCATAAATTAGATTAGTAATACAAGATGTATGCGGAGTTTACATATATTGAGACACTCATGTATTGAATGGAACTTGGATAAATTGAATCAAACATAAATATACTACATGTTTTCCCGAGTATATTAAAGTATATTTGTATATATTAAATCATATTTTAAGTATATTCAATAAAACTTTAATATATTGAAATACATTTAGGTTATGTTAAATAACCTAAGTTTATGGAACTTGAATATTTTTAACGATATTCTAAATATTTTTATTGAAACTTTTGAATATATTGAATGAAAGTTGGAGGGACCTTAAAGAATTATGGTTGATGTAGTTTCAAAACAGATAGATCACTGAAGACTTCAAAGCTAGCGGGCCAACTAAGCTGTCATTCTATTCTTAAAAGTTTAAAGGAATTAATTTGCTCTCATGTGGGATTAATGATTTATTAATTAACCTACTCAAAGTATAAATCACAGCATTGTTCAGTGACATCCAATTAAAAACCCCTTTTCCCCTCACTGTAGATTTAAGTGATGTAATTTGGCCATTTAAGGTGGTCCTTTAAAAGTGACATAGTTGAAGAGGTCTCTGTGGAAATGGACAACAGACCAGGAAAACTAAAAACAGTTGGAGGGAAGGGGGTGGGGGTAGCAGAGAAGCTAAGACAAAAAGTGGACAGATCTAAATGTGCAGGAGAGAAGGCAATATAGTTCTTAATGTGTTTGTTAGTTCAGACTGTGGTAGTGGGGTGGTGATAAAACAGAGAAATTCCCATCAGAGTAAGAAGTTATTATGCTACACTGTACATGTCTGCCTGCCTTAATCTTGACATCCTATTTCTTGTTGTTGTGATAATCTCAGTTTAGCTCCTCTCCCTGCGAGTAGAGATGTATCAGATTGGGTCTGCACCAATCGCATTGCTGGCACTTCTGGTGCTCACACTCAAGGTGCCCAGGGGCCAGTCCTGCCCGAGGAGCTGTAACTGCTACCAGGCCAATGAGGTCCACTGCACCTTCCGTTCACTGCTCACTGTTCCTCCCAGCTTGCCTGAACGGACACGACGGATAAATTTGGGGTATGCGAACTCACAGTTTATCATTTTCTATGCAGCACTAACAGATGCCAGACATTATCTTCAAGCCCTTTACAGAACAAGCCACATCTTATACTGCAGAGTTATATAGGTTCAAATTCATATCGAATAAAAATTTAAATAAAATAATTATTATACAGCCCAATAATTTGACTCTGATGTAATAATGTACAGTCTAAGTCAATCTGAATTGTGATGCATTCTAAATATTTTAATGGGTATATATAATAGATGTAACATTCCAATAATTCCTGCTTAGTTTGTGCATTTTCTGAGTTAGAAACAGGCATTTTAACCAGAAGAAAATCAGGGGTGGTTATACAACTCTAAAGATTTTTTTTTATTAACCGTGATTTCTATATTATTTGCTTGTATTGAAATAGACCCTCTAGTCATAAGGAATTCTGAATCTAAAGTTTTTTTTTTTTGTTTGTTTTTTTTAAGTTTTCTTAACATGTTTAAAACTGCATAATATTGGCAAACATTTTCCCATTTTAATAGCAAATCCTTGTACCTCAACACTACCCTAACATTTAATGCTAAGAAATCTGGAAATAAAGGGAGAGTCTGACAGCAATGTCTTACATGATTCTAGAACTAAGGAACTTTTTCTTTCAGGAGATTATCAACTTTTAGGCAAATTTTTTTTATTTTTTTTTATTTTTATTTTTTATAAAAAGTCTGTTGGGAATCATCTTGCCAAAGCTGAATAACATGTTTTGTTTTTAAACTTGCTATTTTTTTTTTTACTAGATATGCATCGACAGAATAGACACCACACCTGGTCATTGTGTTCTTTTTACCCCTCTGTTGGGAGGTGTACTTTAGTATACTATATGCCAGACGTATAATAAAACAAGACAATTTCACTCCAGTGACCTTTGGTAGAATTTTCTAGCTCTGTGCTCGGGTGTCAAGACTCCTTATAACATGGAGATCCAAATCCTCCAGAGAATTGCCTCCTTAACACCTTGGAGTGGTTGGAGTACCTCTTCATTCCTGCAGACTATGTTTTCATGGGATTTGGTTTTTGATTGGGTTTCTCGTATTGGCCTTACAGTAGAGTCAAGGATAAGAGTGATTCGAGGCTCTGGCTGAAACAAGGGCATAGAAAATGACTAAATTCTGCATGATCAGAGAAACCAGGGTCGGGAGGTGGTTTATATTTGCCGGGTAGTTCAACCTTTGCTCCTTGGACTGGATTTAAATGTTAGAATAAAATACATTTCCATAAAAAGGGTCATGTACTTGAAAAAATGTTTGGAAAATGTTGAATACCAAGATCTTTTCTGAAAGTCTCTCTGTCATGTTCATTTGTATGATGAGATGCTGTAAGAATACTGTTCTTGATGTTTGCTTTACTGGGAAGTGGAAACTATGT